ATCTGGGAATAAACCTAACCAAAGAGGTAAAAGACCTGTATGCAGAAAACTACACAGCACTGAAGAAAGAAATCAAGGAAGACACAAACAAATGGAAACATATACCTTGTTCATGGATTGGAAGAATTAACATCATCAAAATGTCCATACTACCCAAAGCAATATACAGATTCAATGCAATACCTATTAAAGTACCAATGGCGTATTTCACAGACATAGAACAAACACTTCAAAAATTTATATGGAATCATAAACGAGCCCGAATAGCAGCTGCTCTTTTGAGAAAGAAGAACAAAGTAGGAGGGATCACAATACCTGATATCAAACTGTATTACAAGGCCACTGTAATCAAAACAGCCTGGTACTGGCATAAAAACAGGCACATAGACCAATGGAACAGAACAGAGAGCCCAGAAATCAACCCAACCCTCTACAGTCAATTAATATTCGACAAAGGGGGCAGTAACATAAAATGGAGTAAAGATAGCCTCTTCAGCAAATGGTGTTGGGAGAACTGGACAGCTACGTGCAAAAAAATGAAACTTGAGCACCAACTTACACCATACACCAAAATAAATTCAAGGTGGATAAAAGACTTAAATATAAGCCATGACACCATTAAAGTCCTAGAGGAGAACATTGGCAAGAAAATCTCAGATATTCCACGCAGCAACATTTTTATGGATATGTGCCCTAGAGCAAGGAATATAAAGGAAAGAATAAACAAATGGGATCTCATCAAAATAAAAAGCTTCTGCATGGCTAAAGAAAACAGTATTAAATTAAAAAGACAACCAACTGTATGGGAAAACATATTTGCCAATGATACCTCAGACAAAGGTTTAATCTCCAAAATATACAAAGAACTTACACGACTCCACTCTAAGAAGACACCCAACCCAATTAAAAAATGGGAAAAGGACTTGAACAAACACTTCTCCAAGGAGGACATACAGAACATTCAGAGACACATGAAGAGATGCTCAATATCGTTAGCTATCAGAGAGATGCAAATTAAAACCACAATGAGATACCACTTTACACCAGTCAGGATGGCTATCATAAACAAAGCAACAAACAACAAATGTTGGAGAGGTTGTGGGGAAAAGGGGTCCTTAGTTCACTGTTGGTGGGATTGTAGACTGGTACAACCATTATGGAAAACAGTATGGAATTTTCTCAGAAAAATAAAAATTGACCTGCCTTTTGACCCAGCAATTCCACTGCTAGGATTATACCCCAAGAATCCTAAAACATCAATTTCAAAGAACCTATGCACCACAATGTTCATAGCAGCACAATTTACAATAGCCAAGAGTTGGAAGCAACCTAGGTGCCCATCAGTAAATGAATGGATCCAAAAATTGTGGTACATATACACCATGGAATTTTATGCAGCAGAGAGAAAGAAGGAGCTACTACCTTTTGCAACAACATGGATGGAACTGGAAAGCATTATGCTGAGTGAAATAGGCCAGGCATTGAAGGACAAATACCATATGATCTCACCTTTGACAGGAAGCTAAAGAATAAAACAAACAAGCAAACAGAATAAAAACAAAGACGCTGAAATAGAGAACAAGTGGGCAGCGACCAGAGGGGAGAGGGAAGGGAACTTGAGGGGAAAAAGGGGGGAGGGATTTTGAGGAACAAGTATGAAAGACACAGAGTTGAGGACTGGGGGGGGGGGGAATGGGAGGGAGGGGGGAGACCGGGCGGGGGGGGGGGGAGGGAAAAAAAAAATGTACTTGAAAAGTAACTAAATAAAAAAAATAAAAAAATAAAAAAAAAAAAAAAAAAAAAAGAAATAGCCAAACTTTCAGATGCACAGTTCAAAACACTGGTGATCAGGATGCTCACAAAACTGGTGGATTTTAGTCACAAATTAGAGGAACATATGAAGGCTAAACTAATTGAAATGAAGGGAAATGCACAGGAAACCAATAGTAATGGGAAGGAAACTGGGACTCAAATCAAAGGAGTGGACAAGAAGGAGGAAAAAAAATGACCAAACAGAAAAGGATGAAGAAACGAGAATTCAAAAAAATGAGGAGAGGCTTAAGAACCTTCAGGACATCTTTAAACATTCCAACATCCGAATTATAGGGGTACCAGAAGGGGAAGAGGAACAGCCACAAGTGGAAAACTTATTTGAACAAATAATAAAAGAGAACTTCCCCATTCTGGCAAAGGAAATAGATTTCCAGGAAGTCCAGGAAGCTCAGAGAGTCCCAAAGAAGTTGGACCCAAGAAGGAACACACCAAGGCACATCATCATTACATTAGCCAAGATTAAATGAAGGAGAGAATCCTAGAAGCAGCAAGAGATAAGGGGACAGTCACCTACAAAGGAGTTCCCATCAGTCTGTCAGCTGATTTCTCAAGAGACCTTACAGGCAAGAAGGGGCTGGAAAGAAGTATTCCAAGCCATGAAATCCAAAGACCTACATCCAAGATTGATCTATCCAGCAAAGCTTTCATTTAGAATGAAAGGGCAGATAAAGTGCTTCTCAGATAAAATCAAATTCAAGGAGCTCATCATCACCAAGCCCTTATTATATGAAATGTGAAAGGGACTTACCTAAGAAAAAGAAGATAAAAAAGATGAACAGTGAAAGGACAGCAAACTCACAGTTATTAACAACCACACCTAAAACAAAAGCAAACTAAGAGGACAGCTAGATCAGGAGCAGAACCATAGAAATGAAGATCACATGGAGGATTAGCAACAGGGGAGTGGGAGAAGGAGAAGGGGGGAGAAGGTACAGAAAATAAGTAGCATAGATGGTAGGTAGAAAATAGGGGGGAGGGCAAGAATAGTAGGGGAAATATAGAATCTAAGGAACTTGAGACACATGGTCATAAACTAAAAGGGGGAAATGGTGGGGGAGGGGGTGTGAGGGTGGAGGGGAATGAAGGGGGAAATAGAACAACTGTAATGGAATAATCAATAAAATACATTAAAAAATACACACAGACTGGAAGTAAAGAAATAGAAAAAGACATTTCATGAAAAAGGAAATGAAAAAAAGAAAAGCTGTGTTAGCAATAGTTATACCAGACAAAATAGACATTAAAACAAAGGCCATAACAAGAGACAATGAAGAACCCAGCAATTCCATGTCTGGGAATTTACCTGAAGAAACCCAAAATACTAAATCAAAAAGACATATGCATACATCCATATGTTCATTGCAGCATTATTTACAATAACCAAGATATGGAAGCAATTTAGTGTTCATCAGTAGATGAATGGATAAAGAAGAAATGGTGCATATATACAACAAAATATGGCTCAGCAATAAAAAAGAACAAAATCTTTCCATCTTCAACAACATGGATGGACCTAGAGCATATTGTGTTGCCTGAAATAAGTCAGACAGAGAAAGACAAATGCCATATGATTTCTCTTATGTGTGAAATCTAAGAAACAAAATAAGCAAACAAGCAGACCAGAACCAGACTCACAGATACAGACATTTTCATGGTTGCCAGATGAGAGAGGAGTTAGGAGGATGGTTGATAAAGGTGAGGGGATTAAGAAGTACAAATTGGTAGCTGCAGTATAGCCATGGGAATGCAAATACAGCATAGGAACATGGGATAATATTGCAATAGCTATGTATGATGCTTGGTGGGTACTAGATTTGTTGGGGTGATCACTTTATAAGTTATATAAATGTCTAATTACTAGGTTAACTACCTGAAACAAATATAATATTGTACACCAACTGTAATTGAAAAATAAAGTATATTAAAAGTAAATAAGTTACATTAAAAAAGACTCAGAGAATTGTCATGTCAAATGTAATAACTTATCTACTCTGGTCATTCATTTCTTTCATTTCCTTAATCCCTGTATTCTCACAGATTAGGAATCTGGATTTACTAAACTGGTAACTACAATATAGGATCGATATTCCAAATGACTCTAGTTTGTTTAAGGTAATTTTTTGTTTATACATATATTTCTAATGGCTGTGTTAGCTTAACAAATGGAAGCAGTATCCTTCTAAAAGGAAGAAATGTTTTTGTTTGAAGAAATACCCCACTAAACTGGCTTGAAGAGGGTGGCATTTCGTGAGTGCAGACACCTCAGGCACCAGGGCAGCAGAGGATGGTGGGGGCGGGACGGCAGGACACAAAGGGAAGAACGTGTTGCATTTGCTCTTTTGAAGCAAACCTTTCTGTCTCTTCCCTCGGAAATCTTCAGTAAGATGCACTCTGTTTCTACCTGCTTTGTGTAAATTTAGTCTAGTGTGTGTTTGTTTTTGCATCCTGTTGATGGGAGTGACTTTCACATCTGGGTAAACCCAGTGTGAAACAGGCATAACACACGTGAGAACTAGAGTCCAGGAAAGAAGAGACGGGAGGCAAAGGACACAGGCTGGGAATCCCAGACACTGGAAGGAGAGCTTTGGACCAGTCCAGGTGCAGAAACGGGGAGCCCGAGTCACTTCCAACCGGGTCCCTGAGTGGTACAGAGGCCGGACCACTCCAGGTGCAGAAACGGGGAGCCCGAGTCACTTCCAACCGGGTCCCTGAGCGGTACAGAGGCCGGACCACTCCAGGTGCAGAAACGGGGAGCCCGAGTCACTTCCAACCGGGTCCCTGAGTGGTACAGAGGCCGGACCACTCCAGGTGCAGAAACGGGGAGCCCGAGTCACTTCCAACAAGGTCCCTGAGCGGCAAAGAGGCCGGACCACTCCAGGTGCAGAAACATGGAGCCTGAGTCACTTCCAACCAGGTCCCTGAGCGGTACAGAGGCCCTCAGCCGCAGCTGGGCCGCGTACTAGACAATAAATTCTTTGCTGGACCCTATACTTCTCTTTTTCCTCTTAGAAAACTCACATGATGTTAGACATATAACAAGTGTTTAAAGTATTTATTAATTTAAATTTTGGGTTTTACTTATAAGAAAACCAAGAATATTTTAGCTTCCCAGCACATAAATATTTTTCAATTGTCCTGTACCATTTAAAAAAATGTCATTTTCTAACCTTAGTAAATCCAGTTCACCATAATGAGCCAAAATTTCTAATGATCCGATTCTAAACCATGATTTTGCAACACGCAGTACTACTGCACCTGCAAAAGAAATATTTATTTCAGCACAAAGTATTTCAAACTGTGGAAACAGCCTAAAATGCTTTCCTTCTTCCTCTTTTAATCCTTATTTGAGGATATGTTTTTACTGATTTTACAGAGAGAGGAAGGGAGAGAGGAAAAAAACAATGTAAGAGAGAAACATCAGTCAGTTGCCTCCGTATGAACCTGACCAGGGGTCAAATCTGCAATCTTCTGGCCTGTAAGATGACACTCCAACCAACTGAGTCACCTGGCCAGGGCCTAGTATGCTTTTCTTAAAATAAAATTAATAAAAAAGAATTCAGTATCTGAATTTACTGGAAAATATAACTACTTTATACCCTTGAAAGGATCAAGGAATTTTCTCTATTTCTCTAAGCCGGCGTGTTAGAATGTTAGGAACCACAACACTCTCAGAAACATAAGAGGCTCCGACCCAGCTAAAGGCTGCTCAGTTCCATCAGGAGGCTCGGAACATCGCAGTCCCACTGTCTCCTCAACTGTGGCCTTTTCCCTGTACCTCTTCCTGAATCAGTGAATTAGGAATTGTCTCTATGGCATAGTCCCTGCAAGTACCTTTCATGTGTGCAACTAACTGAAAATTAACTTCAGTTACTAAATGTTTACATATGTTCTAACTTATGAATATACTGGAGAAATAAAGTGAATCTATGCATTTTGTGTTTGTTGCCTTCTATTGCTAGCCTTCTGTTTGATTATAGACAATAGTAACAATTAATAAACAGCATTTGTGTTTCTTTTCTATAAGGAATGCTGTATTTACATGCATTTGATCTGAAGATGCAGTCTATTCCAAGTGCTCCCACTCTCTTCAACAGACTCCCTGCTGCCTCTGGGCCTTTGTGCTAGTCTCCCCTGCTCCACAGGCCCCACTGCCTCTTCTCCCCACACTGAATTCTTTCCTATTCTTAGACAGTCACCAGAGCAGGGCAACCCATGTCACAGCTCTGTTGCTCTGTGTGGGGAAGAACAATGCCACTGCCTGGCCTCCGCAGCTTTGCCTGGGAGAAGCTGTCTCCCCACTCACACTTCACTTTCTCCCCATATGCCACTGGTGCCCTTCCAGGTGTTGCCCTGAATCCCAGCAGGTATGGGTCTGTGCGAGTCCTGAGTCTGTTGCAGGCCATTAAAGAGGATGCAGTTTCTGACCCTCCTACTTGTCTGGATGAATGTGGCTTCTTTAAATCCTTGGTTGTTGAATGTCCACACAGCTCGATTTCCTGAAAATTCTGGGTGATGTTTGATTTGTATGTAGCTGTATTTTTGCTATAGTTGTGCAGGGAGGAGAGGTGTGTTTACCTACTCCTCCATCTTGACCGGAAGTGAAGACTGAATTTCTTGAGATCAGGACAATGATATATACTTACTATTTATTCCTGGACTCCCTAGAGTTGAATACAATGGAAGGCCCAGAAAAGAGCCAATTAGTATTTTCTTGGTTAACTGAATTACCATATAATCAGGATTAATTCACAATATTAACCAAGACATTTACTTTGATGTGGCTCTTTGAGCAATAAACATGCAGTCACTTAGAAAAAAACAAAAGAGCTCAATAAGTTATTCTAATGTTTACTTAATGCATAGCCATGAAATCACTGAATGTTAGCAATGAAAGACACAAAAGGTATCACGTAATCCAACCGTCTCATTTTAGATGGAGAAACAGGGACGAAATGTGACTTGCCCAAGTCACAAGTCACTTCCCACAGAACCAACCTTAGGTTTCACATATTCTTTTTGTCTGTCCAGTACTTTTCTCACTGTACCACTGGGCTGCTGGGCAGGTATCAGGATAAAAGCACAACTGAAATACCTGTATGTATGTGAATGTTTAGATGTGAAAACTATAGTAATGCCTTCAAAAGGAGAAACACTTGGGGGCATTTGATTCTGGTTTGGAATTCAGATTAACAATATATATAAGTTACAGCCACAGAACAAGTAGTGTTGGATCCATCACATGAACAGTCCATGGTTAGACTCTCACTTCCAACCACCAAAAACAAAAAGACCTAAATGGTTGTTATAGGCTTGTGTACAATAGATCCATGTTACCCAGATGAAATTAAGAGCAAAGAGAGATGCCAGGGGAAAAAAAAAAAAAAACCCTTATTTCCTTTAAGCATGAAAACTTTAGAAATAGATTGTTTTTTATGAAAATCTTATCCAAACATACTATGCACTAAGTATAAGAACATGAAAAAGCCCTCTGGTGAATCGCTATGACCCTCAGTAAAAATGCTGCCCTGTGAAACAGTGATCCAATTAAGCATGTTAGTTGTCAGCAGTGCTTGATAGCTCTGCTTTTCTAAGCAGTTTCATATGTTTCTTATCGATTTTCAGGTCCCCTACTTCCCCAGAGACTTAGAGCCGAATTTCTCCCTCTCTCCCTTTTTGCTGTTCTACAGTACACTTTCTCATTCCCTTTCTAGGTTTGTTTTATTTCTAACCTACTACAGGCTGAGGAAAAAGTTAATTGAACTTATTGGAAGTAAACTTGAAGTAAGAACAACCAGGCTCTGAAGAAAGGTCACTGCGCTCTCCTGGGAGGAAGGTGCGTGAACTTCTGCGTACTGGCTTTGTTAACATTTTGTCAACTGTCCATCAACAACTTTCGTTCACTTCCCAGATGTTTGCTGTTTGAAATAGATGAATTAGTAATGTAAGGATGTGAGGAAGGGAATTTATGATAGTATCATAACACTGAAATAGCTGGAAGAACCAGAGGTCATTTGTTAAGAAGACCAAAAAGATGTCCCATTATATCTGTTGTTCTTTAAGAACTTAGTTTTGTGTCCCTGTTTTCCCTGCAGCACTATTCACCGTGACCTAGATGCGGACGTAGCCCAGGTGCCCATCAGTAGACGAGTGGATAAAAAGAGCTGTGGTACATTTACACAGTGAAATACTTCTGGCCATAAAAAATAGAGAAATCTTACCTGATGCGATATAGCATGGATGGACCTGGACAGCATTATGCTGAGTAAAATAAGCCAGTCCATAGAGAGAAAAGTACCATATGATCCAATGAACAAAATAAACTAATAAAGACAGACAGATTTACTGATAGAGAACAGAACAGAAGAGAGGAGGCTTGCGGGTCCGGGTGAAAAAGGTGAAAGGACTAAGTGAAAAAAACCTCAAAGACACACACGACAGTATGGTGACTACCAGAGGGAAAGAGAGGTTGGGGGAGGTAGAGGAGGGTAAAGGGGGATAAATGGTGATGGAGGGAGACTTGACTTGGGGTGATGAACACATAATACAATATACAGATGATGTATTACAGAATTGTAAACATGAAACCTATAGAATTGTATTAACCAATATCACACCAATAAATTCAATAAAACAGTAAGAAATAAAAATAAAAAAGAATTTAGGACCTGGCTGTGTAGCTCAGTTGGTCAGAGTGTGTTGTCCTGATACACCAAGGTTGTGGGTTCAATCCCCAGTTGGGGCACATAGAAGAATCAACCAATGAATGCATAAATAAGTGGAATTACAAATCAATGTCTCTCTCTCTGTCCCCCACTTCCTCTCTCTCTAAAGTCAATAAATAAACAATTTTTTAAAAGTATGTACTTAGCCTAACTTTATATAAAATCTAAAAATGGTTATTACCTCGTTCTCTCACAATGTTTCCATTGTAGAATTGGTCTCTCCATACTTCATCATCACTCACAACCAGACTGGAATAGAAGAGAATCGAACAATTAAAGTTACATTTTAACTGCAAGCAAACTCTCAGAAACACCTAAAACTATTAGAAACTGCAAGCAGAAACTTATCTGATCAATTTACTGACACGATTCTGGAGATAATAGGATCCAGTCCTGAAAGGGAGCTTCAAGGGAGGAGGAGCTACCTGGCAGCTCTGCTGCTTGGAATTCCAAGATAGTGCATCGCCTCACTGCACAAAAACTCTCTCACCGAGGAGCGAAGCACAGCTCTGCCATCGCCATTTCTAGGAAAAATAAGATGAAAAGATTTTCAATGGTAAAGACGGTATCAATTTTAATTAAAATAAGTAAACAAACAAAAAACTATACCGGGAATATGGGGTCTTTCCTGAGCCTTTTAATTGAAGCTCCCACTTCTCACCGTGCCTTAAAAAAAAAAACCTAAGTATTAGGAGATTCATGTTAACATTTAGCAGAAAAGCTATTCTACAAGAAAACATGTGGTACCTATTCATGTAAACTCCAATAAGGTGGGCTCTTCCATCCCCAAGCTGATCTGCCCATATCCCAAACTAGAAGGGAAAAAGGAAAAATTAGTCGTGTTTATTAATCCTTATTAGCTTTTATAGTAACTTTATAGCCAAGGTTCTTTCATCAAAATTGAGAATGGGGTATTGCATTTTGGGAATTATAATAATCAGAAACTCCAATAAAGGTGAAAATAAAATTCAATCAATAAAACATAAGTGAAATTCATTTTAAAAATATACATTTAAGACATAAATTAATTTCTTCTTATAGCTGAGCTCAAGTTTGTTAGGTGTAGAAAACTAAAAGTGATCTATTTAATTCCAGAATATGAATTAAGGACAATTTATTAGTAGAAAAATTTCCAGTATTTCCCTTATTATACATATGCAATATTAAATCGGGAACACACCTGTGCCCCCCAAAAATCACTTTTGAACTTGTATAGTTAACTGTTTCCAAACTTTTCCATTAAAATTTGTGCTTGTTCAATTCCCGTTTGTGCTACGGCACTTACTAGCTTCAGAAATTTGTTTGGGTTACTTATTCTGCTGAGACTGATCTCTCATTTCTGTAAAATGGAATAACCTTTGCCAGATTGTTGTAAGAATGAATGCTGATACATATATGCAAAATGCTTTGTACCATGTTTGACATTTTCAAGTGCTCAAAATATGGTAATTAATAATATTGCCAACAATTATTTGTTAAGTTACATGTCATTCCATCCTCCATATAGATGGTGTGTCCACCAGAAAGTTTTCTCTAAACTTCTGGGACTAGGAGAGAGGTCCTATCAATTCCCTTAACTCCTACACTTACTCCTATCACAGCTGATGTTATAAGAATTTGCTTACTTATCTATCCACTCCCCCCAAAGTATCAGCAATTTGAGTGAAGGGAACAGGTCTCATTCACCATGATAGCTCCTAGCATTTAAAAGGAGTTCTAGAAACAGCTGTGGAACAATGGACTTATTTGGTATCTTCAGAGCACTTCACTTCAATGCAGAATATACATATTTTTCAAGGGTACATGGAATGTTTCCTAAGATAGACCACATGTTAGGACACAAAACAAGTCTCAGTAAATTTTAAAAGACTGAAATCATATCAAGCATCTTCTCTGACCACAACACTATGAAACTAGAAGTCAATCACAAGAAGAACACTGAAAAACATGCAAAGACATGGTAGCTAAATAACAAGTTATTAAACAATGAGTGGATAATCAGTAAGATCAAGGAAGAAATCAAAAGATACCTTGATACAAATGAAAATGAGGAAAATGTGGGACATAGGGAAAGTAATCCTAAGAGGAAAATTGATAGCATTACAGTCCTATCTCGAAAAAACAAGAAAAATCTCAAATAAACAATCAGACTTTACACTTAGAGGAACTTGAAAAAGAAAAACAAGCAAAGCCCAAAGTGAGTAGAAGGAAGGAAATAATAAAGATCGGAGTGGAAATAAATGAGTCTAAAAAAATCAATGAATCCAAGAGCTGGATCTTTGCAAATATAAACAAGATTAACAAAACTTTAACCAGACTCATCAAGAAAAAAAGAGAATGGACTCAAATAAATAAAATAAGAAAGAGGAGAAATAACAACTGACACCAAAGAAATACAAAGGACTACAAGAAAATATTATGAACAACTATATGCCAACAAACTGGACAATCTGGATGAAAGGATAAATTCCTAAAGCATACAGTCTTCCAAAACTAAATCGGGAAGACTCAGAGAATCTGAACAGACAAATTACACCTAGTGAAATTGAAGCAGTAATCAAAAAACTCCCAACAAACAAAAGCCCTACACTGGGTAGATTCACAAGGGAATTTTATCAAACATCCAAAAAGAACTACACCTCTGCTTCTCAAACTATTTCATTAAATTCAAGGGAAGACTCCCAAACCCATTTTTGAGACCAGAATTATCCTAATTCCAAAACAAGATAAAGAAACTACAAAGAAAGAAAATTATAGGCCAATATCTCTGATGAACACAGATGCTAAAATCCTCAACAAAATATTAGCAAGCCAAATATAGCAATGTATCAAAAAGATCATATATCATGATATAATGGGATTTATCCCAAGTACAATGTTCACAAATTAATAAATATGATTCAACACATAAACAAAATGAAGGACAATAACCTCATGATTGTATCAATAGATGAAGAAAAATCATTTGATAAAATCTAGCACCAATTTATGATTAAAAACTCTCAGCAGAGTGGGAATAGAGGGAACATACCTAAACACAATAAAGGTCAAACCCACTGCCAGCATCATAGTCAATGGGCAAAAACTACAAGCATTATCCTTAAGATCAGGAACAAGACAGGGATGTCCACATTCACCTTTCTTATCCAATGTAGTGCTGGAAGTCCTAGCCACAGCAATCAGACAAGAAGAAGAAATAAAAGGCATTCAAATTGGAAAGGAAATAGTAAAACTGTCTTTATTCACAGATGACATGATACTGAACATAGAATACTCAAGATTCCACCAAGAAACTACTAGAACTGATAAATAAATTCAGCAAAGTAGTAGAATATAAAATTGATGTCCAGAAGTCAATTGCATTTTTACATGCCAATAACAAACTAACAGAAGGGGAAATCAAAAAAACAATTCCATTCACAATTACTTCAAAAAGAATAAAATACCTTGGAATAAACTAACCAAGGATGTCAAAGACCTTACTCAGAAAATTATAAGACACCGAAAAAAGTAATTGAAGAAGCAAAAAAGGTGGAAGCATACACCGTGTTCGTGTGTAGGAAGAATTAACAGCATTAAAATGTCCAGACCACCCAAAGCAATCTATAGATTCAACACAATTCCAATCAAGATTCCAATGTAACATTTCACAGAACTAGAACAAATATTTCAAAAATTTATATGGAACCACAAAAGGCCCCACATAGCAATAGCAATCTTGAGAAAAAAAAACAAAGTTGGGGGAATCATGCTACCTAATATCAAACTGTACTATAAGGTCATAGTATCCAAAACAGCCTGGTACTGGTATAAAAACAGACATATAGATCAATGGGACAGAAAAGAGAGCCCAGAAATAAACCCACACCTTCACAGTCAATTAATATTCGACAGAGGAAGCAAGCACCTACAATGGGCTAAAGATAGTTTATTTGATAAATGGTGTTAAGAAAACTGGAGAGATAAGTGCAGAAAAATAAAACTAGACCACCTTCTTACACCACACATAAGAATAAATTCAAAATGGATAAAAGACTTAAATGTTAGACCTGAAACCATAAATCCTAGAAGAAAACATAGGCAGCAAAATCTCAGACATTGCTTGTAGCAATTTTTTATTGGATATATTTCCCCAGGCAAGGGAAACAAACAAACAAAAAATAAACAAATGGGACTACATAAGACTAAAAAAGTTTTTGCACAACTAAGGAAATCATCAACAAAATAAAAAGGCAACTTATGAAATGGGAAAACATATTTTTTGATACATCTGATAAAGAGTTAATATCCAAAATTTGCAAAGTACTTACAAAACTCAACACCAAAAAACCCCCAAAACCCAATTAAAACATGAGAAAGAACCTGAAAAGACACTTCTCCAAAAAGGACATACATTTGGCCAATAAACATGAGAAGATGCTCAATGTTGCTCATCAGAGAAATGCAAATTAAAACCACAGTGAGATTCCATCTCACACCTGTCAGAATGGCTATTATCAATAAACCAACAAACAACAAGTGCTGTTGAGGATGTGGAGAAAAGGGAACCTTAGTGCACTGTTGGTGGGAATGCAGACTGGTGCAGCCACTGTGGAAAGCAGTATGGAGATATCTCCAAAAATTAAAAATGGATCTGCCTACTGACCTAGTGATCCCACTTCTGGGAATATATTTGAAGGAACCTAAAACACTGATTTAAAAAAACATAAGCTCCCCTATGTTCACTGCAGCATTATTTACAATCACTAAGTATGGAAACAGCCCAAGTGTCCATCAGTAGATAAGTGGATAAAACAACTATGGGACATTTACACAATGGAATACTACTTGGAGGTAAAAAAAGAAGAAAATTTTACCTTTTGCGACAGTATGGCTAAATCTGAAGAACAAACATTACACTAAGTAAAATAACCCAGCCAAAGAAAAACAAATACCATATGATTTCACTCATATGTGGAATCTAATGAACAAAGTAAACTAAGCAGGAAGATGTGGACAACTCACAGATGGGGAGCAAGATGACAGCTAGTGGAGGGCAGGGGAGGGCAGTGGGTGGAGGGATTGAGCAAAAAGGAAAAAGGACTCATGGACATGGACAACAGTGTGGAAATGCTGGGGAGAGGGAGGCCCAAGGGGACAAAAAGGTAATTGGAAAAAATACAACAAAGATTTAATCTATTTAAAAAAACAAGAATTTCTTAACAAAACTCTGCAGGACTTAAGGTTTGCATTTGTCCTTTAACAGCACATATGAGTACTGGTATAAAATGCTAATTGATAAATTCACCCTATATGGGAAGGGCTGTTTAAACCATGGAATCCTGTATTTAGGAGCTAGAAAAAAAAACCCAGAAGTTTCTAAACTGAGAAATGTAGTTCAGCAAAATGTTGATAGTTATTTCTTAAGAACAAAACAATCACACATCTCTACAGTAAAAAGTGTTTGGAAAATGGTGTGGCAAATAAAATTAAGCAGATTTCTTTCCCACAGTACTTCTCACAGCTGCTGGAACGACCCTGCGCAGCCCTTGCATATGACAGATCAAGACACTGAGGTTCACATTCGTCCTCGGTGACTGACAGAGTCCTTTGCAATTCGAATGGTCTTGTCACTTTGCTTCGTAGTTTATGTTAGTTTAGCTTCTTAGCGTCTGTTACTTTTGCTTCTTAGGAAATGGAAAAATGGAAGCAATAAAAATCTGAAAGGAGTTAACTTCCACAACAACCAGGGCTACGATACTAATCATTGTAACAGCTATCATGAAAGCACTTTGCACATATTTCTTAATTTAATCGTTACTCCAACCTTATTATACTTGGCTATTTTGTCCTAAAAACTATTCCTGACCAAACCAGTCCCCAAACAGCCAGTGCTAATAATCTTCTCTAGCTCTCAGAAAAGTCGCTGGAATTGCAACAATTAGCCCTGTGTTCCTTCTCTCTCTCTCTCTCTTTAGTCACATTCCACACCTGAACTTGCTTCAACACCTTGCTTTATTTCCAGAAGGTGCTTTTTAATTGCTTCGGCATATATAACACCCCCCACTAATCCTGACTTAATTTCTAGTAGTTCTAAAACTTTGCACTACAGCTATCCTGGCAAAATTATAATCTATTTGTCCTTCTGAAGTTTTTACATTAACTCATGTGCTACTTGATTTTGCCTAAATCTCCAGAAACGTTTCGTTGAAGAGCACTGGCTGATGTGGCTCAGTGGGTTGAGCACTGGCCTGTGGAATGATAGAAACATTTTGCTGAAGTCTCAGTACTCTAATATTGGAGAGATTAAGGCAAAATATCTTCTCTAATAAGACTACATTTCCACCATCTGTTTATGTTTCATAAGTGAAGCAACGCATCTGACGCTACTCTTACCTGGTGGCCACCATATCTGTGAGCCAGTGGGATGGATCCAAATACTATCTTTTCACCACTTACAAGCTGGATAAAATCCTCTGTTTCTGAGACAGACAAATCAAGGTCCAAAATGTCTTCTAAAACTTCCTGAGGCAGGAAAAAAAACACTTCCTTACAAACTTAAACTTAAGTAATCTTTAAGAGTTTTTGAGAAAAGAGACTTAATGTAAGAAAGAAAAAATTAAAAAAATAAACCTCTTCCAGAAATACAGTAATACTTTTTCATAAGAGAGGTACCATATGTTCTATGATTATTTGTTATTTGGGAAAATTATTTCTATTAGATGATTCTAAAACTTTTATGTATTTCTTGTGATGCATAAAGAATATTTTTCCTACACATATTCTTTAAAGGAGATAGAACACGTAAATGTCCTATTTTTAGCCCAAATTCATTTATACCATGAAAAAACAATTTAGAATTTGTTATTGGAGTCCATTTCTAAGAACTTACCTCATTTACCCCTTCCTTGTAAGATAACTTTAAGATGAACCTGAGAACTGGGCTCTAGGAATAAGTATCAAAAAGTGGTTTCTAAGAATGACATTCTCCAAGTGGCTGAATTTTGAGCACAAAGATAGTCACTTATCAACAGACTAACAATTTAACTCTGAAAAGAATATTGATATCTTTTTAGCCAAAAGTTATAGTCAGTTAAGTATTTGTGTTATAAAGAAAAATAAAGCCTAACCTTTGAAACTGCTACAAGATGTACTCTTGATTTAAAAGGAGTAGGCAAGGCAATCGAAAAAATACAATTTTTCACTTTACGAACATAATTTTCTTTAGCAGGATCAATTGGCAACACAGCTGATAAAAACAAAAAGCAAAAACACAACCTTCTTAATGTTCTCATTTGTTGCATTTACAGCATTAATATTCTTTAGAAATGCTATGGTTCTTTATGAAAATCAACTTAAAACACCATTTTCTTCACACTTTGTTATTGTGGTCTAGTTGGTCATTTGCAAACATATCTACGGAATATTCATGTAGTACAGGCATGGAACTGTCCAAGATGGGAGATGTAAAACTTTAAAACAAGACACATACCTGTCTTCAAAGGTTTTCGTGCATGGCAGATCAATAAGATGTACAGCATAGTTATAAATAAAAATATATAAATAAAATGGAGATGAGCCACATTACAGTAATAGAATTATTAGAATTAGTACTAGCCAATTCAGTGGAATCCAACCAAAACATATTAGGCACTTAATCACATTCTTCCTGCCTTTCAGAAAAATCATAACTGAAGGAAACAAATATATACATAGATGTTTTACTAAAAGTACAAAGAAACTTCCAATTCCACCAGAAACTCCAAAACATTTGCCACAGCCTCTAAAAATTGCATCTAAGGAGATAAAGTATTGTTCATAAAGTCCAGGCACTAAAGTACATGCACTTGATTTAAAAAGCTGTAGAGGGCACCAGCTGGGTTGCTCAGTTGGTTGGAGCATTGCCCCATACGCTGAAAGGTTGTGGAATTGGACTCTGGTCGGGGCACATACCCAGGTTTTGGGTTCAATCCCAGGTTGGGGCACATAAGGGAGGCAACTGATGGATGTTTCTCTGTCACATAAATGTTTCTTTCTCTCCCTCTCTTTCTCTTTCTCCTCCCTCCCTTCTCTTGAAACATATACCTCAGGTGAGAAATTTTTTTTTTAATGTAGAGAAAAAAAAAGAGAGCTTGAACATGCTTTAGATCCACAGAACGTATTTACTTTTAAGTACAATTCTTAAAACCTAAGGTTAATTGCTTTTCCTAATCTAAAGCAATTTAAAAAAAGAAAAGATATATGTATTACTAAAACTACAGGACAAAAGGACACAAAAGCTTATGTCACTGAATAGATGATACCATGTTGTCAAGATGACAGTGTCATCAAATTATTTAATAAGCATAATGGAAATCCAATCAAAAACCTAGTATTTATTTTTTAAATTTAATTTTATTGACTATGCCATTAGACTTGTTCTATTCCCCCCTTCATTCCCCTCCACCCTGCACCCCCAACCCCCCATTCCTCCTCTTTAGTCCATGACCATGTGTCTCAAGTTCTTTAGATTCTATATTTCCCCTACTATTCTTGCCCCCCCCATCTATTTTCTACCTACTGTCTATGCTACTTATTTTCTATACCTTCTCCCCCCTTCTTCTCCTCATCCCACTCCCCTGTTGCTAACCCTCCATGAGATCTTCATTTCTGTTTCCACTCCTGATCTAGCTGTCCTTTTAGTTTGCTTTTGTTTTAGGTGTGGTTATTAGTAAATGTGAGTTTGCTGTCCTTTCACTGTTCATATTTTTTATCTTCTTTCTTTAGATAAGTCCCTTTAACATTTCATATAATAAGAGTTTGGTGATGATAAACTCCTTGAATTTGATCTTATCTGAGAAGCACTTTATCTGTCCTTCCATTATAATGAAAGTTTTGCTAGATAGAGTAATCTTGGTTGTAGGTCTTTGGATTTCATGACTTGGAATACCTCTTTCCAGCCCCTTCTTGCCTGTAAGGTCTCTTTTGAGAAATCAGCTGATAGTCTGATGGGAACTCCTTTGTAGGTGACTGTCCCCTTATCTCTTGCTGCTTCTAGGATTCTCTCCTTCATTTTAATCTTGGCTAATGTAATTATGATGTGCCTTGGTGTGTTCCTTCTTGGGTCCAACTTCTTTGGGACTCTCTGAGCTTCCTGGATTTCCTGGAAGTCTATTGCCTTTGCCAGATTGGGGAAATTCTCCTTTATTATTTGTTCAAATAAGTTTTCCACTCGTGGCTGTTCCTCTTCCCCTTCTGGTACCCCCATAATTCGGATGTTGGATCATTTAAAGATGTCCTGGAGGCTCCTAAGTCTCTCCTCATTTTTTTGAATTCTTGTTTCTTCATATTTTCGTTTGGCCATTTTTTTCTTCCTTCTGGTTCACTCCCTTGGTTTGAGTCCCAGTTTCCTTTCCATCACTATTGGTTTCCTGTGCATTTCCATTCATTTCAATTAGTTTAGCCTTCATATGTTCCTCTAATTTGTGACTCAAATCAACCAGTTCTGTGAGCATCCTGATCACCAGTGTTTTGGCCTGTGCATCTGAAAGTTTTGCTATTTCTTCATTGCTTAGATTTATGGGCTCTGGGGCTTTGAGATCTTCTTGAGCCATTTTTGGTCTGTTCACGCCTGTTAAGTATGAGGGGCAGAGTCCTAGGTGTTCACCAGGGCAGGGCCACCCAGGTCACAGGCTTGTGATGCTGTATGTGGGGGCAGGGTCAGAGCGGGGAAATGGCGGCCCCCTCTGCTGCCTATTGCCACTGGGGCCCGCTAGGTCCTATCTCACCACCCACTCCCTTGCTGGTCTATCTGCGCACGAATGCGGGACCACAGTCAACCTATTGCCCTGCGCCCTCGCTGGGTCCACAGATTGCTCACTGGGTCACTCACTGGATCACTCACTGGGCCCGCCCATTGCAACCCCAAGCCTGGGATTCCCAGGCCTGAGTCCGTCTGACTGAGTTTTCCTGCGCAACCCCGCTCCACCCCTCTTACTGGTCAGGCTGAAGAATTTGTTGTTATCAGACTTCTGAAAAGTTCAATTTTCTGTGTTCTGGCTGTTTCTGTTGCTAATATTTTGTTGTCTCTAAACTTGGTTGTGCGAGAAAGCACAGCGTCTCCACCTATGCCTCCATCTTGGCGGAAGTCTCCTAGCAGAATTTTTTTGAAGAAACATATAAACTTATAGTATAAATCTGGAAAAATAAAGACTCTTTAAAATAGGATAAATGGGAATTTCCTTACCACACTGAAAATTATAAGAATACAACAGCTAAAAATACTGTCACTCCAAAAATAAAGGCAAAGATTAATAGAACTCAACAAAAGGTACAGAAACTGCCCAAAGTAATGTAAGCATTCCCTATATAATAAAAATTATCTTTTGAATTAGTAGAGAAAGGTGAGATGAGGACGATTTGCTCAGCTATTTAGAACAACTCATCCCACTGAAGCCACAGTGAACTGAAAGTCAATTATAACAGAAATAAGAGTAATCTTGTATCTTCCTCATGTTAGTATAAAAACAAGCAAATGTGGACCACCTTTAACCCTTTTAGTTCCCCTAAGAACATGGTGAATAAGGCAGCATCATAAAAAAAGTGGTCAGCAAAAACAGATTTTAGTATCCACCACAGAAAACCCGATGATATGATTAGAAGACCCAACAGTATATTTTCTTCTCTTTTAGGACAGCTTCTGTGTGGAAATAAACCATTATTTAATTAACATATTTTCTTTCTTCAGTGATGCTCTAACACCTTGGTAGAGCATAGGCAGTATATAATTTCCATTAATACTTACGATTTTGTAGTGATTCACATTTTGGCAAGGTAGCTGATCACTGGCTACCTTATTAGCACTAGCCAAGGAACAAAAAAGGCTAACTGCTTCAGAGGACCCAACCCTCACCCTTGTTATGGTTTAACCAATTAATCAGTCTTACACTAATCACCAGCAAAAATTCTAAATGTACATTAACCCTTTAATTTACCATCTCAGAGAAACCAGTAATTCCAAAGTTCTTTAGAACTCTTTCTCCTAAGAATATGAAATCTCCCCAAACTGCTAACCTTTCAGTGCAATTATGTTTGAACCTCGTCTTAATAAATGTTCTTCACAGTTACCTTGATAATTCATTACTCATTTCTCATAACCTCAGGATGAGATGCCTTTATGCAGGACTATTAACCAAGACATGGTTAAGTATATAGTATTATGTATACAATCTGTAAAACCTGGTCCTACCATAATGTTTTGAACAGTATCATCAAGGAAAGAAAATGTCTTAAAGTGTAGGCAAGTCCTTGACACCAAAATAACGATTTCGAAAATGCTTTCAATTACACTTATTCCATTTTTATCAGTCAGTACTGGTTGTTTCGTTTGCATATGTGCAGTCGAAAAGGCCATCGTGAGCCTGTGCAAAGGGAGTTGTTGGGCAGTTACTTACACAGCTCAGACTGTTTTTTAACTTCCTAGATTCATGCTTCGTCTACTGGGGCAAGCACTATTAGCTGGTATTCTCCACGTCCTACTGATGGGTTATTGTGCATCAGTTTAGCCATACCATGTTAGAAGCCTCCATGAATTTTATCTGCCCTCACTATTTAGCCTGCCATATCACATCTTTTTAAGAACCAGGTATTTTGATTTAATCTGGGGAAACAATTTCTAAATAAAAATGACCTGATAGAATTGTGTTGTATCTGCCAACTATGTGAGCTTGGGCAAGACACTTAATTCCTCTATCTCAGCTTCCTGATCTGTAAAAAGGGACAAATGATAGTATCCAAGTAATAAAATTGCAAGTAGTTGCAAGTAGAAGTGTTAACCGCTACACTCTACTTTGCAAATTCTACCTGTTGAGTATTTCTTAATACATAAAGCTTTATCAAGATAAGCCAGAGAGGTGTGTATTAATAAACTTCATTTGTAAAGCACTTGAGTTTTGTTTTTGTTTTTTTTTCCACATAATATCCAAGTTTGTGGGGTCAGGGACTCGTAAAATTAGATTAAGAAATTTCTTTGTTCTATACTTTTACTCAGTAAAAAACAAGTTTCAAGATAAACATGACAGGTGCTCACCTACATAGATACTTACACTCTGATGCAAAAAGTTTGGTTTACAAGAACAGAAAAACAAAAACAAAAATCCCCAGCCCTGGCTGTCATGGCTCAGTGGATTGAGTGCCAGCCTGCAAACCAAAGGATCGCAGGTTCTATTCCCAGTCAGGGCACATGCCTGGGTTGCAGGGCCAGGTCCCCAGTAGAGGGCAGGCGAGAGGCAACTACACATTGATGTATCTCTCCCCTACCTCCCTTACCCTCTCTAAAAATAAATAAATATTTTTTTAAAAATCAGAGAATTGCAGTTGCCTTTTTGCTGGCCTATTTCCTCATAGCGAATTTTTTGAGGACAGAATAAGTTTTTTCCCTAAAGCTTACACTTTCTCTCATTGGCTCTGTGTTTGTATGCATGTGTGGAATGATTAATTCTATCACGGATGTGTTATAAATACGCCCTCTCATGGGAAGAGATCTGGCTTTAGAATTAAGGAAAGGTCTTTCTAACTCACATCGGGTACTAATCCTGTACAATCTCCAGTAACCCCTGGGCTGGCTACAAGTAGGTTCAATGTTACTAAATATTAAACAATCTCCCACAGGTCAGTACACCCACGCATGGGACTCACACATCCAGATGTGCGCAAGACAGCCAATTATGCCACCATATACCTATAAGGTTTTCAGAGGAGAGGGTCCAAAAGTCGAGAGACGAGGCTAATCTAGCTTCAGCTTCACAATAGCCCTGCTCCTGGTTTGACTTGTTACTGAAAAGGTGCAAAAGGCTGGCACTTCCTTCAGAGCAAAGTTGTAATAAGGAGCAGATAACAGGTTGGTAGGTCACACACAAGAGAAGCAGCCGTGGAATGTGTACCCTCTGGGTTAAGCAACAAAACGGGAACCCAATGCTTTGAGTCATATTTCTGCCTAAATATGTAGGACAGAAGTCGTTGAGTGGAAGTCTGGCGCACTGTGGCACTTCTTTCTAACAGCCGGTCACCCGAGGGTACATTTTGCCCTGTTGGAGTTACTGGCTCCCGGAGAACCACAGGGAGGAATCGGGAGAGACGGCTCGCCAAGTGGAAAGTCACGGCTACTTTCTCCCCGGCCAGAATACCGCTAGCGGAGGAAGGGCCCAGCCGCCGCCGCGCACCCCTAGGTCCACAACTTGCGCCGACAGCCCGGAGGTCCTCGCCGACTCCCGCGCAGACTGGTGCCCAGGCGCAGAATGGTGCCCAGGTCCCGCGTGGCCGCCGCTGGAGAGCGCTGGCGGCCCAACCCCTGGGGAAGGAACGAAAAGAGGCGCACCGGGCGGGACAGAAGCTCTTCCTGTGACAGGTTTCCGGCTCCGGGTCCCGGAGGAGGGCCTTCAGTCCCTGGGCGGGGCTGCCGCCCGCCGCGGCTTTCAGACTTGCACCATGACCTCGTGCTGGTGGCGGTGGCGGCGCGGCTACTCTTGGAGGCCCGCGACGCGGAGCCCCGGGCCCGGCTCCCCCAGTCACACGGGGCCATGCGGGCAGCGCTCCACCGCCTCTGCCCGCGCGCAGGTGAGGCCGGGAAGCGGGCGTCGAGGCGGGCGCAGAGGTCACAGCGCAATGACAGCCGCGCGGAGGAATGAATGGGCGCGAGCGGCACCTGTGCCGGGTAGGGGTCGCCGGGCGGTGCTGGGATGGGCCCCCGGGCTGGCTGGTGCCGGGATGGATTCCAGCCGCCAGGTGGGGCGCGGAGGGGTGGGCGCCCAGCGTCAGTCTACCTAAAGCAGGGGCGTCCCACGCGGAATTGCAGAACGGGGTTCTGGGGACCAGGGATATTTTGGGAATTGGGAAGGGCGGCGTGAGGAGCCAAGTCTCGGGGGAACGGAGGACGAGTGGTCAGATTGTCTAATGGGGTACGGATAAAGTCAAGACTGGGGACCGTCTGCAGCTCCTTCCTTTAGAGTTTCACGGTTCGGGTTTCGGAAGATCAGATCTTAGAACTAAGGTGCTCTGAGCCCTCAAGGGATACAGAGGATCCAGGTGGTCTCCCTAATGGCCTCGATAGGTGGTAAAGGTCTTCTGGAGGATATGGGGCTGATACTATTTGTAGCTGCTTCGGAGGGAGAGATTACCTGGGCCGGGTGCAAGGGCATTTGAAGGAGAAAAGCCCTGAGGTTGGCAAGTAGGGTTATCTTGCCAAGATAGGGTTATCTGTCATTTGACCTTTGACTTCTTGAATTGGAGTCCGAATCTCAAGCACTGACAATGGTTCTTTGATTCTCCTGATGCCTGTGGATCCAACTTCATTTTTCTCCCTTTTCTGTCAGTTTAGCCCTTGTAAATTGACATGTTTCTATGTCACTATGAGTCCTTTCTGCACTTTGTAGTGATTCTCAACCTGCCTTAGGCCCATGCTCTTTAGCGTAACTGCCCAGAGTCTATGGATTCACTGTTCTTTTCACAGACTCTCTAGTCACATAGTAATTGTATGTGTTCAATTCTTATTCTCAAGGCTTACTTTTTTTTTAAGTTTATTTGAATTTAGGGTTTTTGTGTTTCAGTCAGATTTGGTATACTTTAAATTCCCATATACCCATCAAACATTATTTACCAATATGAAATAGGTAGTACATGTGTGTCTACTTTGCACTATAGTGGATACATATCACAACTTATCCAAAATGGACATTTGAAGTGGCAGCTGGGCTAGCAGATAGACTCGACAGTAAAGGGAGAAAGAATAGGGGCAAAGAGCCTCAGGACTTGGCTGGGATTCATTTAAGTAGCATCCTAACCAGACTCCAAAAGTTTCTAGGACCACAGATGAGGATATCATTTGGAGAATGGATGCATCCCTCATGTAATGCCACTGGATACTTATTTTCTTTGACTCTTTGTAATTCCATGCCCTCCAAGCAACTTTCTTTGCAATAGGCTGCTTTGGAGAGGATGCACCTTTGGGACCATGGGAGGGACTGCACTGAGGTTGCCACTGCCTTGTGTTTCTGGTTTGTGTGTCCATGGTGTCCTTCACTGTAAAGTAGTACACTATAGCCTTCTGCTGTCTGCCTCAGGCTTGTGTTTTGGCTAGTTCAGGTCTCTCAGGGCCTGATAGGGTTAGCCTTGGAGACACAAAGCAACAATAAAAAAACCACCTCCAGCTCTCTAACACTGCTCTGCTACTTCCTGATGCAGGTACATTCTCCCAACTTCTCCTTTGATAGTGTTAATAAGCCTTGTAATCAAGCAAAACCAGTGTGCATGACATCTAGCCAAATAACTTGTCAGTATGTCTTTTGATTCTTATTCTGCATTTTCTCTTTTTTGAAAAAGTAAATTCATAGGAGGCAAGGTTGGCTTTCAGGAGAGTAGTGATGGAATCACAGGGAAAAAAATCAGAATTGGATAATTGCTTTTGGCTCGTGCTAATGTTGGCACACTGCATGACTCAGCTCCAGTCCCCCCTTTTCCACAGTTTTGTGTTCCAGTTTCAGTTACCTGTGCTCAACCATGGTCCAAAAATACTAAAAAGAAAAAAAGTCCAGAAATAAGCGCTTCATAAATTTTAAATTGTGCACTGTTTGGAATAGTATGACCAAATCTCGCACAGTCCTGCTTTGTCCCACCTGGAGTGAATCCTTCCTGCAGCATATCCCTGCTGTGTATCCCCACCCATTAGTCGCTGAGCTCACCTCCCAGTGAGACTGCCATGGTATTGCAGTGCTTGTGTTGAAGTAACCCTTATTTCACTTAGTAGTGACCCCAACATACAGGAGTAGTGATGCTGGCAATTCAGATATGCCAAGGAGAAGCTGTAACGTGTTTCCTTTATGTAAAGATATATATATATGAAAAACATAACATATATAGGGTTTGTTATTTACAGTTTCAGGTATCCAAGATGTATCCCCCACAGATAAGGAGGGGCTACCGTAATGCTCTTTTGAATATCTCTAACACTACGATGGAAAGCTTTGCCCTAAGATAGTCCTAAAGCAGAAATATAGCTTGATCGCATAGATACTATATTAAAGGTATGCAGAGTATTAAGCTCTGAGCTCAGAGCTTTACACATACCCTCTAAATCAATCTCTCTAGGAGTAGGTATTATCAAAAATAATACCAGGTTAAAGATTAGGTCTCATACCGAATAAATATTAGAATACTGAATTCATATGAAATGATTACCCATGAAATACTGACAAAAAGGTTAAGTGTCATATAATGGTAAGATCAAACGAAGGTTAGGATTTTATTCCTGGGTTATTGTAATTGCCTGGGACACCATAAATGTGCCTATTGGTTTAATGAATATATAATGCTGTGGTGCAAAGAATAGAACTCAGACCATCTTCCTTGGCCTTGCGTGCCTGGCAAAGTCAAACCTTATTGTCATTTTAATATGTCCAAAGCAATACCTGTTCACTAGAGAAAAATCAGAAAATATAAGCAAAAAAGGAATGAAACAAAGGAAACCTAATCCTAATTGCTCCAGAATAACTATTTTTAGTGCCCTGATTTATATGCTTTCAAAGCCTATCTTCTGCAATGTATCTGTGTGTCTGTACATAAATTTCTAGTGGGAATCACATTTTTTTCTTCTGATATTTCCTCTCTGAGTCAGGGTCAGATAGCTAAAGGGCCATAAAACTGGGGAAACAAACTCATTTCAGGCTTGGACTCTTATTTAAATTGAGGGTATTCTTAACAAAGCAGGTTTCACAGGATTTTATGCATTCTTTCTTAGGCCTGATTGCCCTGGGGAACCTGCCCTTTCCAGCACAGGGCTACACCCAACTCCGGCATTGTTTCGGGCTTAAGGCATTATTTCAGACTTAAGGGATAAGGGAGGCAGGGGGAGTAAGGCAGCCAAGAGATTAGGAGACTTCTCACAAGCCGCTTGAGAACTCAGGCTAAGTCAAAGCTGAGGGGTGAGGATCCATCACCCCCTTTTTCTATACCCTCCACAATCCTTCCCTGAGGGCCCCTGCACAACCATGCCTGTCTTAGGTCATCCCTCCTTTGAGGAATCTTACCTGTCATTGGCTAACCAGTCATCCACCTGGGGCCAAGCAGGGTGAAGTGAAAGGGGGCAGAGGCGGCACCCCTGCCAAGGAGATAAGCTTTGTCTTCTCATTGGCTTCTGGTCCCAAGGTCTCTTTACTCAGCCTCAGCCTTAGCCATGAGGGGAGTGGGGTGGTTACAGCTTCTGAAACCAGGCAGGGCAGCTCCCAACACCTCTCAAGTCTTTGATTCTAAAAAATATTCATTCTCCCAAAGAGGCAATATTTTGGGCTGGTAAACTCTGCTCGCCTTCAATATGCAGGCATGTGCCACTTAATGACTGGGGCATGTTCTTAGAAATGCACTGTTAGGTGATATTGTCATGTGAATATCATAGAGTATGATTACACAAACCTAGAAAGTACAGCCTACTATGTGCTATATTTTATGTGACTGACAGTACAGTAGGTTTGTTTATACCACCATCATCACAAACGTGAGTGATGTGTTGTGCTACAATATGAGTAGGCAATAGAAATTTTTCAGCTTCATTATAATTTTATAATACCACCATCAGATATGAAGCCCGTCATTGACCAAAATGTTACGCAGCATATGACTGTACTATGTTGTAGACATCTGCATAGATGTCCCTGAATTATGATGGCTCAACTTAAGATTTTTCAATTTTACAGTGGTGCAAAGTCATATGCATTCAGTACCAGCTATGCTAAGCTCTGGTGTTCAGTAGGGTTAGGTGTATTAAATGTTACCTTTTCAGTCTATGATATTTTCAACTTACAATGGGTTTATTGAGACATAACCCCACCGTAAGTTGAGGAGCAGCTGTATACCAGTTCTCAGACTTGACCTCTCAACTTCAAGTTCTCTGTTTATATATAAAGCAAGTAGTTGTGAGGGTCAAATAGTGTCAAAGCACATTGTAATATTTATTACTAATAGAATGAATTAGTTTTATTTTCTTGTGCTAAATTTACCCTTTTGTCAAAATGCTTTCTTGAAATAAGAGCCATTACCACATTAGATTAATAATTTTTGAAATAACTGTGACCCTGAATTCCTTGAGATTGGCAGTATTCCTGACCATGGTAGTGCTCAATAATTGTTGGAACTAACATTTGTCATCACCATCTCTGCTGGAAGTTCTGTTCTTGACCTCAGATTAAGTTCATATCAGAATGTGCTGCTGTTGTTTGGTTGTATGCCATTACATATCAAGAAGTAGCATTTCCAAAACTGATAAATAAAATAAAGTAAAATAATAATATAATAAAATAATAATAAAATAAAATATAAAATAGTAGCATTTCCAAGTAGTT